CCCGACCCGACATGAGACGCGTGCTCGGGAGCTCAGGCAGGCGGAATCAGGGTGCACGGCGAGGGCTGGCGTGTACGGAATCACGGACAGCGCGGGTGCGTGCGGGGTCGCTGGCAACGCGGGCGCGTTCGGGTTTGCGAGCAGCGCTGGGCAGGGTGGGCAGCAAGGGGCGTGCGCCTTCGGGTACGTAATTGGTCGCGGGCGCGGGCAAGTTCGGGGTCGCAAGCAGCGCGGGCAGCGTCGGGCAGGGCAGGGCAGGCAATGATGATGAGCGATGACAAGGCAATTGGCTTGTTGTAAAAAAAATTTTGGCTAAAACTAAATGAGCTTACAATACATAAAAATGAACTAACAAGTGAAAAACGACTTTACTAATTTTTATGTTGCTTTTTTTTTTTCTTTAAACTAAGCACCCAAATTCTATTTTACACATTTTTCTTCCAGCAAATCAAACAAACCCTTAATCTTTTCTCTTTTTTTATTTTTCTTTTTTTTTTTCTGAGAATTGGGATTTTTGTATAGCCATGTATCAATTTCATATCCTTCGAGTTATATTTCGGGCTTTATCTAGTCGTAATTATATTTTTTATAGTCAATGGAAAAGTGCTTTGTCATCAATTTTCCCAAGATTATTAAAATAAGAGGGAGGAAAATCAATATATTAAAAAATTTCCTTATGACATAATTAATTAGTTAAAATCTATTATATATGGAAATCATTCGATTAGGTCAATTAATAATATATGTAAAGATTAGAGCACTATCATCTTGAAAATAATTTATGTTAGTTTGGAATTTATTAACCTAACTTTTTTTTTTTTTTTTTTTTTTTTTTTTTTTTTTTTTTTGGGAAATTTACTACCCCAACTCATATGCCTGACATTATGTCTAGCAATTAGCAGAAAAAATAAATAAATAGAAAATTTTGGTATCATCCACAATAATTAATTAGCATCTGCTACAATAATTATTTGCTATATGTAAGGGTTGTGGTGCAAAATAAAGTATTATTGTTGCAAATAATTATAAGTCATCGCAAATTCCAAATATTCATTTATTTTCCAAAGATTTAGCCTACTCATTATGAGATTATTACATGAGGAGTCCAAACGGGAGAATCATTTGAATCTTGTAAACGTATATAATAATTACATAGCAAATACATAATTTTATTATTTGTTGTGTGCTCTCACAGAATTCGGACGTTTCTCCCATCCAAACTCTGAAAAATTATTCTATGCGGACCCTGGACGGCGTACGAAGACCAACCAAAATGCACCACATCATTTTTTGCTCGGAATCAGTGCTCAATACCGCTGTGTACCTGGTGACATAGTGCGTTCTGATTGGCCTCCAAACCGTCTGGTATTCGCACAGAATAATTTCTCATGTATTGCTTTATGAGTTTTCCCAATGGCCCAATACTTCCAATTATTCATTTTAACAAAAAATAGAGATTGTAAAAGTCCTTTAGAAAGATTATATGTATCTCCTAAGTGTATCGCCTGCTATTATACTTCTTAATCACATCAATATGGATGATGATTAGGTTGTTGTTTACCTAATTTTTGTCTAATCTCAATCATTTGATTAAACAATAAAGTAGCTGATGATAAGAGATGGGCGTATAAAAAAATTCAAATGATACACTCATAGAGATTTATGTTGTAATTAAAGTCGTCTAAGTATCTGAAAAGCTGGGTTAAAAAAGAAAATCTCTAAAATAAAATCACTCTCTTTTAAGATTGTATTTGGAACAACTTTTAGCCACTGTATTTTTATTGTTTAAAAAAAAATTAGACAAATGCTACATTTGGGATATTGCTTTTTCAAACAAGTTTTTAGCATAAAAATTTCTTGAAAAGCATCAAAAAATAATGACCAAAAGCTATCACAAATGAAATAAGAAAGTCTTTTGTAAAAAGTAGTAAGAAATGTCTCTAACGAAGCCTAAATTTAATTGATCCATCTTATGATATGATATTGTAGCTTCATTTTAAATATGATTTTCTTATAGAACAGTAAAAATATTATTAAAAAGTTATCAAACTTTCTCTCTATTTATTTTGAACATATGCACAATATAATTTTTTTTATAGAGTAATGCAGCACTATAGCTCAAAAAAAGTATTGATTTGTTGCAACTAAGACTTTGTTTGGGACAGTTTTATTGTTATTTTATAAAATCGTTTTTTAGTACAAAGATTTCTAATTACTATTTTTTTTTTGGTAAAAAATTGGTCTAAAAAATAATAAGAAAGTTGTCTCAAATGCAGTATTAAGCTTTATAAGACAGCTTATTTACTGCTTCTTAAAATAATTTTTTAATAATTTTTTTTTATACTAAAAAACTACTTTAAAAAACACATCCCTAATGAAGCCCAAGTCACACAAGATAATTGGTCGAATAAAAATTCACTTGGTGTCACTAACTTTTCTCGCTCATCTATCCATTTTTGTATGTCAAACACTGATTTTTATTT